CCTTTGACCATGTCTCTTCACCTTCCCACCAACCCACTAAAGCAAAGACACGCTTTGATTCGTTAAAAGGAGACTGAATTCAAATATTGGCTCTTCAATTCAACCCAAGGGACCTGACAACACGATTCCGCTGCTGTTGCTGCGAGCCCCTCGCATTCAGCCTGCATCGACACGACCTTTCCTATCTGTGGCTTCACAGCCAGCTTTTGCTTCGGGGACTCGCAACTGTGACATGGGACACGGGTCTTGTTGCCCCATCTGCAAATGGAGAAACTGAGGCGAAGGGAGATGTCATGATTCGTCCACACAGCTGGTTCAGGACTTGCCCTGTGACTCCAGAGCCACCCCTGTAGTGTCGCTCACAACCTTTTCTTGTGTGAATTACAGATCCCTTCTAAGAGGCTGATGCCAGGATGGACCACTCCCTAGAACACAGACAAGCCCTAAATATCTGATAAATGGGGGAGGGGGCTATTCATAGACCATTCGAAGCCCTTGCACGATAAGAACTGCTTCAAAATACAGTCATGTGTGATTTATAGGGTGGTGGTTATTGAGCTGTGTGTCCCAAATGTATGCCAAGCCTTTCTTTTTTTTTCTTCCTTGGCTAAGGATATGTTTTTGTTGTTTATTTTAAAGGAAAAGGGGGGGGGGAGAGAAAGAGAGAGAGAGGGAGGGGGAGGGAGAGAGAGAGAAACATTGATGTGAGAGAGAAACATTGATCCATTGCCTCTGGTACGCACCCCAACTGGGGACTGAATCCCAAACCTAGTGTGGTGTGAACCAAGTAATAGAACAAATGTAGATGGGAAGGAGAGCGTGATTATTGCACTGAGTAAAGTCCCACCTGGGTGAAGCACCCCGTTCCTCGCGTGTCCACACATGACATCAGAATAACTTCCCCAAGCACAGAAGAGTAGAGAGTTAATCATCGCAACAGCTGTGGCGGGCTTGTGGGCCCTTCGTGAGTTTTAATCGAAGACCCAGTGCTGGCCCGAGGAATCCGCCCCCCCGCCCCCGCCACCCCAGAACAGGAATGCCACAGTCCCTGGCCTTGCCCGCTGCCCTGCTTGTTTGAGAAAGGCTGCCAGACACTGAGTAAGCAGCGCAGGGCACAACAACAACACCAGCTCCGCGCTCGCCAGCAGCGGCCACCTGCTCCAGTGAAAGGGCCAATTCAGACGCTGCGGTGGAAAAAGGTTCTCAGGGGCGTTCGTTAGCTGGCGGCACGCTGTGGGTGCAGTTTGGCCCTGGATCTCAATATTCCCTTGTAACGTTTTACAACCCAGACCTGGCAACAATGGCGTCATTCATCGCACTCACTCACGTGGAACAGAATGTGAGGGCCCGGGAGAGGCTGGTCTGCGGGCTCCGACACCCAGAGTGAAAGGAGGTGCTCAGGACTCGGCGGGTGTCCCGGGAGCCCAGATTCAGCAGAGCGAGCTGGCAGGATGTAGGCACAGCTGTTGATACAGCGAGAGCAGTGGGATTTGATGGTAAACTAAGTTCCTCAAACAGTAGGATCAGCAGATTGGCCAGTAGAACTTGATATTGCCCGGGGGTAGCCAATACCCAACTCTCTTATCACCAGGAAGCTTTTTTCACAGGACGTTGTGTTGCCCACGCAGTCAGTCGGTGTGAAGGCAGCAATTTCCTATTGCCAAGTGTACGTTGGCAAGATCTTTGGAATAGCTGACCCGGGCTGGAGCACAGCTTTACCTCTTCTTAGCTGTGTGATCTGGGGCAAGTTGCTTAACATCTCTGCAGCTTAATTTCTTTACCTCTAAAGCAAGCATGTCAAACTCAAAGGCTAACACAGACAAAATACACAAGGTTTAAGTTGATGTGGGCCGCGAAAAAGCAAAAGCTTCAATTTTCATAGAAACATAGGTTTATTTCGATAGAGACATGCTGAATACAAACGGCTGAAATAAATGAGTAATCGTTAACATAAAATAGAACATTTTGATAAAAATTAATTTTTTCTTGAACATTAACTTACCAGACATTGAGTAACTGCACAAATTAATAAGCATAATGCAAATAAACCTATTTTTCTTGTTCTCCGAAAGTGAAATATTTCCTATTGTGCACACCAAACAAGTCAGTCCAAGACGAATGACGTGGACATCAGCTGCTAAAATATTCGCTGCTAGTAATAGTGGAGAGAAATGGTGCGCCTGCACGTAAGGCGTGTAAGGGAAATGAATGCAACACGATTATATAATCAGTCATTAGTGAACTTTGTAGTTTGTTATTAATAATTATGTATAACAGGATATTGTAAAAATTAAGTTACAAAATTATTAAAATGTTTCTTACATACCGTTATATTGGCTGGGCCACAAAAATATTTGTTGTGGGCCGCACGTGGCCCACGGGTCACGAGTTTGACATGCTTGCTCTAAAGTAAATCTAATCATACTGATGAAATGGAGTTCTTGCCAGGATCAAATGAGGGAAAGTATGTAAGTCAACCAGTACAGTGGCTAGGACATTAGAAGACACAGAACAACATGGATGAGGAGGAGGAAGATGAGGAGAAGGATGGTGACGATGATGATGGTGGTAGTAGTGGTGATGATGGTGATGGTGATGGTGGTGGCGATGGTGGTAGTGGTGATGATGGTGATGGTGATGGTGGTGGTGGTAGTGGTGATGATGGTGATAGTGATGGTGGTGATGATAATGGTGATGGTGATGATGATGTGATGGCGATGAAACACCAGCCCTCTGTTGCTGCCCTCCTCTCCAGATACACAAGGCTTTTCAACTTTCACTTTAATCCTCTGTGCCCTGGATTCTTCAATGATGCTCTCAAGCTGTGGAGGAATGTAATTTCTCTCTTCATCACAAGCACTTTAGAGATTTTCACTGCGTTGCTACTAATCATGTTCCTTTGATGGGTCCATTGAGGAGCCCAGTGGAAATTGCCTGCATGCTGTTGGTGGTAGCATTTCGTCCCTTCGCCTCTATCGGCTCATGCCGATGGAGATGTCACTTCACCTTGCCGTGCCTCTGTTTTGACACCTGTCAGATGGGCTTGCAGCCCTTGTATTTCAGGCACCGAGATGTGAGTGATGGATGGTGGGGATGACGTCTCAAGCTCCTTGGCGAGAAGGAAGCTGTGAGGGACAAGAGGTTATTGGGGTGAAATGGCTTCCCATTTCTGTGCATGTTAGTAATCAAAGGCAGGATTTGCCCTTCCCAGACAGTAATTTTGCAATTTGGCAATGCCAGAATGTAGAATTCCTCAGAGCCCATTGATGCCTTCTCTTGTAAACTCCCTCAGCCAACATTTTTGGGAGTTATTTTCTTTAACTAAGAAAAAGCCATCTCCATTAATAATATAAAACTAAGAGAGATTCCCCTCCTCTTGGGGAGCTCCGACAGCCCAGCCCTTCTACTAAGCAGACCCAAACGGAATTGCCAGCAAGATCTGACAGCTTTTATGTTTTATTATTATTACAATTCTTCGTCTTCATTTTCCATGACGTAGCTGGAGCCGCAAAGCGAGAACTATAAAGCTAATTTCATTCCTTTCAGCCTGCGGGCCCCAGGGAGAGATTCTGAGTGGTGTGGCTGCGCAGGATGGCTCCAGCTTTGGTTTTGAGATGGCACATGCCACGGGAAAACTGGGCGAGGAGACCCCTGGGTGTCCTGAGGGTGTCTGGAGCCTCATGGAAACTTGGCAGACACTATATGTCCCTGCCTGGCCACTCTGACGTGCTTTCACATGACAAACAAAGGCAGGGGCCCAGAGTGGGGCTGTTACACCCCTGGGGGTGGGAGTGGTGAACTCCACACCCCTGCCCCCCTAAAAGCACATTGTGTTTTAAATATTGACAGGAGTAATTAGGAGATTGTCTAGAAATCATTAAGGGGACTGTTGGATTAGGTGTCGGGTGCTCTCTTTATAGCTCTGTGACCATGGGCAAGTTGCTTACTCTCTCCGGGCCTCAGTTTCCTAATCTGTAAAATGGGGACAAGAACAGCACCCACTTCCTACAGTCATGGAGAGGATAAAATGGGTTAATGAAGCATCCTTCAAAAATGTGTTAGGTGTAGTGTTTTCTTCCGTGGGATGATTTCAGCTGTACTCTTCAATTTCAATAGGAAAGGATTTATTTTAACAGTATTACAGGAAACATAATTAGCATTGCAAGCCCATAATTTCATGGATATTGCTCAGAGTGAGGCTAAACTTATTTGGATACAAACTTAATTTTAAAAAATGCACTCAGTTAAAGAAGAGTTGGTTCGGGGTCATGATAAAAAGCATGACGACGTTTGGGGTTTACTAATACATATTTCTTCTGGGGAAGGGATTCTGAACCTGTGTAGCGCCATGGCCCTCCCTGCCATGGTGAACACTGTGGATTACTTCTCAGAATAATATGATTAAATGCATACAATAAAATGCATATATTGCCAAGGAAACCAATTCTATTAACAATGACAATAACAATGATGGTTGTCATTTGTTGAGCACTCATATGTGCCCATTATTATTCAGTTTCTCACTGTATTAAGTCATTTCTTCTCTCCACACCCCTCTGGACTGGAGATCTTTATTATATCCATTGGAAAATGAAGGCATGGAGAAGTGAAATATTAAGTCAGTGGTGATAAGTACTGCAGCTCAAAAGGAAATTCTAAGGCACAAAGCAGCAAGCTATTCAGATTAGGGTAACTTAGGGTCATCCCTGACTATCCTAGTGATCTGCCACCATTCCTGACCCATTTACCCGTCTGTATACATGTAGAACTATTCATAAACCTACTTGCCTACTGTATAAGGCATGAAAAGTTAGTGCCCAAATATGTATATCCAAGACACATGATGTACTTGAGTATAATTGGATCACTTTGCTCATCAAAGACCCCTTTGTTTCTTATTCTGTGATTTTTCTGGTGGATTCGATGGCTCCTGGTTCAGCCAGTGGGGGGATCTGTACCAGAGCACTGATCGATGTTGTTTCCCATCTTCTCTCTTTCAGTAAAGAATATCCCGTGGTTCCCAGGAGCACAGTGAGACAGAAAGTGGCCTCCAACCACAGCCCTTTCAGCAGTGAGCCTCGAGCTCTCTCCACCTCATCCAACTTGGGGTCCCAGTACCAGTGCGAGAATGGTGTGTCAGGACCCTCCCAGGACCTTCTGCCCCCACCCAATCCGTACCCACTGCCCCAGGAGCACAGCCAGATTTACCATTGCACCAAGAGGAAAGGTAAGTGTGGCATCCCCTGCCCGGTGTGCCTTTCTCTACTTCTTTCCTTTCCTTGGGAAAAAAAAAGTATACACAACTACATTTATTTCTTAAGAAAATGCAAACAATACAAACATACATAGAGATTGTAAGAAATTAAAACCATACCAGCAAAACATTTCCTCCCCCAGTTCTAGCCCCTTCCTCGGGGAACACGTATTCAAAAGGTCCAGACCTATTTTACTCATTTACAGACATGCACACACAGAACTAAAAACAGTTTTGTGCTTATGTTTAGCAGTTGATATCAAACTGTATTTCGCAAGTTGCATTTTTTGAAACTTCAGAGTATGTTGTGGATGTCTGCAGCTGGAGCTGCCTCATTTTTTTTAAGTGATGAAGAGGAAGTACTGCCTCAGAAGGAGGAAGTACTGCAGCTCAAAAGGAAATTCTAAGGCACAAAGCAGCAAGCTATTCAGATTAGGGTAACTTAAGATGAGGGGTTCAAACCTGCAACTGAGGTACATGCCCTTAACTGGGAATCTGTGGCCACTCCCACGAGTGGACAGGCAGGCTGCTGCCAGCATTCCCGGTGCATCACACGCCACGCTGCTGGGATGGTCCTAATTGGATGTGCCTCGTTAGTGCACGCGCCAGGCTTTCTCCCAGGGGGATTCTGAGCTCTCCTTTCCTCTCCAGATCAAAATCAGCACAAAAGGAAAAAAGAAAAAGGCACAACTGATTTTTCTTCCTCTTTGCATCCCTTTTTCCAATCTACTGGGCTGGCATCTGAGACATCATAGTTTCCTTTGCCAAATAAGAAATGGATGACTTTTCCTCAGCCACTTGAGTCCAAAGGGACTAGATTAAGGCAGGGAATTTCTGGTGGCCCATTTTTTGGAGCCAGAATCGAAGCAGGTGCCATGGCGGTGTGGTTGAGCTCAGCGTACTGGAACCATCGCTTGGTGTGAACTGTAGACGGGACGGTGAGGACAGGGCAGGCAATGGGGCCACGGAAACGCAGGCTCGAGTCTCACCTTTCCCATCAGCTTCCTGTGTGGCCCCGGGCAGGTGTCCCAGTTTCCTGCTTTGTAAATGGCGCTGTTTCCTGCAGCACCTGACCCTGTGAGCACCCAGGAAGTGGTGGCTGTGATTGCATAAGTGGCAGGTCTCCCTCCAGAAAGCGTGTGCCGGGGGGAACTAGAGAAGGCTGCTCACCTAGGCGGAGGCTTGAGAAAACAGACACAGGGACGGGGCCATCTAGCCTCGTGCTTATGCCCGGGGTCTGCAGAATCAGACAACTGGGGAGGAATCTTACCTTTGCCAGGTGCAAATTTTCATGATTAGGAGCCTGTTACTTAATTCCTCTAGGCCTCATTTATTTATTTAATCCTCACCCGAGGATATTTTACTCATTGATTTTTAGAGAGAGTGAAAGGGAGGTGGCGGGGGAGAGAGAGAAACATCAACTGATTGCCTCCCGCACCCGCCTGGGCCAGGGCCAGGGTTTGAACCTGCAACTGAGGTACATGCCCTTAACTGGGAATCGAACCCATGACCCTTCAGTCCACAGGCCGACACTCCAGCCACTGAGCCAAACTGGCCATGGCTCCTCTATGCCTCCTTTTAAAAAAGATCTGACCATAAGGGCTTATGATTGGACCTGTCTCGTAGGCTTGGTGTGACGATGTCGTGCTATTAAGCTGGTGTTAGCGCAGGGTTGACTCAATAGCACAGGGTTGAGTCACTGTTTCGCTCGGGCAGGCCCAGACCCTAGCCTTAGCCTCAGCAGCCAGCACGATGCCTTTGGAGGTCCAGTGCCCAGTGTTTGGCCCTTTAAAAAACACACAACTCAGTAATTAGAACCAATGGAAACGATGCTTTGGTGGCTTTCTCTGGAGCCGGGGTTACATGAGGAAACTGATGGGGTTGGCGATGGGACATTTACTCATCTTGCACTTTGAAGGAGGGAAGAGCTGTGTTTGGTCCAAGCCCAGGCCGGGGAGCTGACCTGGGTGAGGCCCAGGGCTCCGGATTTACCTGAAGCCCATCCAAGCTCCTTGGATCTCAAAGGCCTGAACAATATCACCCCACCAGGCCCCTGGCCCGACTCCCACAGGTCCGCTGCCGGATGGGCTGCAGACCAGATGCCTGCAAACATGTCTGCATCTTCAGGCGCGAGCAGGGTGAGGAGTGTCTCACGGAGCAGGTCCCTGCCCGGACACCTATTTCCTGTTATACCTAAGGGTGCCCTGCCTAGGTTCCAGACTGCAACCTTTTCAGCAACGCTAGTAAGTAGGTGCTTCCATGAACCAATGTTACAGGTGGGGAAACCGAGGCTCAGAAAGGTAAAATCACAGGCTGGCGGTTCTCGAAGGTGGAATTTGAACCCACACCAGGTCTGCAGACTCTGCCTGGGCCCCAACCACTGCGCTATAGTGTTACCTTTGCTTATCAGTTACAACCTCAAAATGGCATCCTCCGCTGCAGATTTGCTCGCGCGACTGGGTCAAGCGTGCTGATTAAGAGCTCAGCAGGTTTGAATTAGGGAGCTCTGCCTATTAAATTAAGGCCAGACGAAAGAAGAGGAGGAAGAAGTTGAAAAGAATCAAGGCGCTTTTTTCGGTACAGTATTTATAGCAGCGTCCTTATAAAGTGCATTCCTGGCCGGTGACCCGCTTTCGATCACGGGAGCCGTGGACTTTCACGGGGGATTTGGCGGGATCCCCGTGTGAACACATGGTCAACTTCAGGTGGAGGCTGGCGTTGGTGGCTGGTCCATTGCAAGACAGCGCCATAGCTGACGCTTTCCCGCTGTGTGGCCCTGGGCACGATGCTTTGACTTTCTGAGCCTCAACTACCTTTTCTGCAAAATGGGGATAATAACAGTTCCCACCCTGTGGGCTTGTTAGGGGATGGAATGAGATCATCCACATAAAGCACCCAAAACAGGACCTGACATAGTAAGTGCTCAATGAGCGTGAGCCGCCACCATCCTGCCCTGATGCAGCTCATCGTCCCAGCAGATCAGACACTATGGTGACATCATTACATGATTGTTTGGGGGAAATGGTGATCGGATACTGTAAAGGAGATACACAAAGTGCTTATGAACATGAAGGGGTATCAGCCTAGGGGGGTCGGGGGAGAATTTTAGCTCTGAGTCATTGGATAGGAGAAGAGGGTGTTACTGAGTGTCAGGCACAAAGATGGGCCCACCCCCCTCGGGGAGTGACTGACAGGCTGGAACTCGGTGAGGGGAGGGCAGGGGCCAGCACGGAGCCAGCCCTTGTGAGCCATTTAAAGGACTTTAGCTTTTATCCGAACACCAACGGGCAGCCATTGGAGGGGTTTAAACTGAGCGTGACAGGACTTGGTTTGTTTGGGGTGTCACTCGGCTGTGATAGGCAGGGCTAGAATTAGTACCAGAGCTCGGTTGAGAGGCGGTCAGGGGCTCGGGAGTGAGCTGATGGTGGCTCAGACCAGGATGCGGGGAGAAGGGCGGGAGATGTGGGTGGAATCAGGATGCAGTGACGGGCTGGTGATAAGGAGGTGAAGAATTACCCTTTTCACGGATGCAGAAACTGAGGCTCAGAGAGGTTGAGTAACCTGCCCAGCGTCACCCAGCTGGCAAGTGGCCCCGCCCCCAATCCATCCACACTGCGATCTATGCACTGGGGGTGCATGGGACACACCCTGTAGGGCTCCCTTCACCTTTCCAGAAACCTCTGCCCTTCTCACCTCCCTCTGCCCCCAAAGGAAAGCTCCCAGGGACAGGCAACATTCCAGCCAAGCTCTGTCTGTCCTCCTGCCTCAAGACGACAAAAAGCAATTCATCATCAGCCTCCATTGTAAAGTGATAAGGAATCAGTGGAGGTTTCCTTCCAGTTTGGGATTCCCGTTAAGTGATAACTCCATGGGTGGCTTTCCCCTGGCCCCTGCCTGCCCCACTCACTATCTGACTTCCCCTCATTGTCTGTCTCCCTTCCAATGAGCCCAGGAGGCCGGTGTAATGAAATGTCAAAGGGCCGGGCAGGCCAGAGGGCTCCTTGTGTTTGGGCCCAGCTGTCTCCAAACTATCTATCCCGATGGATGGAGCCGGGAAGGTCTTTTATCAACGCCACTCAACCACAGCCAGGACCCCGGGGCCTGGGAGAGCACTTGTCCGCCTTCCTCCCCCTCCTACCCTGATAGCCCCCTACCCCACTAGAAACCCAAGGCAACCCAGATACAGATTTCAGGCCAGCCACTTACTGCACTGGATATTCAAAGGGAAGCCAGAGGAGCAAGGGGAAGGGGCATTGCCTATAGTAAGTGATTTTGCAGGATGCGTTTTCTCAGTGTGATGTGCCTTTAAGAGCGATTTCACGTGGCTTTCTTCACTGGATCCTCCCTGTGCTCCTCGAGCCAGAGGACATGTCCTTCTTGCCCATTCTGCAGGGCAAGCAGAGGACTAGGAGGTGGGCTAGACTGCTGAGGTGAGTGGCGGCGAGGGCAGACCTGGGCTGCATCATCAGGCTTATATTGACTGGGCACTTACTGGGCACTGGGCACGGTGCTTGGGAGAAGGGCAGGATGGCAGAGCCCCGCCCCCATGAAACTCGTGTTCCACTGGGCGAGGCAGGTCAGCAAGTAAGTAAACCAGTGGCTTCACATAAGGGCTGAGTGAGGTATGAGCTGGAGTCTTTTGATTCCTAATCAAGGGTAGTCCCACAACAGCATTCCAGTCCTTTCTACTGTAAGCCAAGAGCTAAACTCCACCCATCCGTCCACCCACTCACCCACCACCCTCCCTCCCTCCCTCCCTTCCACCCATCCATCCATCTGAACAGGAGTTTCATGAAAGCTGAAAGGCTGGGCTGTCCAGCTGAAAGAGCACTGTTAGGTGAGTCAGGCCTGGATATAGCCCCACCTTAGAGTTGCTGAAGGTCACTCAGCCCGGTCACTCAGGGGCTGCTCACCACTCTACCTCTGGGGGCTTGGGCTGAACGAACTGTCGCCAAGGGAAATGACCCACGTGGGATGGTGGCAATATCGGCTCAATGGGATTAGTGATGTGAACGCAGCCCAGTGTTTCCCAGCTCTGGGATCCACCCAAATTCCTTCAGGTATTGGATGACCTTCACCGAGCCATCTGCCCAACCTTCCAAGTGGGGAAAGCCAGATAAGACTTAAACACTTCCTTTATGTGCAGGAAAGCTAGACAGACTGCTTATTAACAACTCCATTCCTGATGGAGTTTCTGCATTATTGTCATGGACAGTCAAGAACTGAGATCCAAATGGTCCCAGTGGTTCGTCCAAGGTCACATAGCCAGCAAGAGCCAAAGACATAACTCTGTGCCCTAAAAATCCGTGTCCTGGATTCATCATTAAAGCCACTTTTTTCCAGAATCAATAGCGTCCAGAAAAATGCAAGGGACCAGGTTTGCCCCGGGGCTGTGCGGTGAGCGGTGGGCAGGATCCGGAAGAGCTTTACTGCTCTCCGGCACTCAGCTGGGTGCAGGACCACTCTTCCCACACACCTTTCTGAAACCAAGCTGTGGACTCATCTCATCCGGGACTTGACCCGAGACTACAGCCCCTCATCCCTTGGCAGGGAGAGAGATCTTTTGCTGCTGATCATTTAAGGTAGTTCCCAGTAAAAAGGCAGAAACCAAACCATAACCAAAAAAACAAAAAAACAAAAAAAAACCAAAAAACCCCCCAAAAACGAAGATGACATCCAAAGCATTTATCACAACCTGAAGTTGGACGCTTGCTTCGGAATGTCTTTACAATGCGGTGAGGTTCGAGAGGAATTTGAGAATGCTCGGACCTGCTTTCATCAATGAGCCAGTATCGAGTCTTCTTCGGACTCTGCAGTGGATCATTGGAGTATTAAAGACTGGAATGTGTAATTTTATGATTTTCCAAAATGGGCTCCAGCCTTTTTCATATTATTCTTCCTTTTTTGACTTGTAACAAACCTGGAAGCGGATCAGAAACTTGGAAATGGTTAGTTTGCCTTTTTTCCCCCCTCTTGCCAAGGGTACCCTGCAGCTGTACTTGCTATTATTAAAAAGGGGAACGCCCTGGTTAAATGGAAAACCCGAAGGTTCTGATTCCAGCAACAGTGGAAACATCCAGAGTTATGGATCTGGGGGGAGGAAGAATGGAGGGAAGAAATCTAGGGAGGAAGTGACCAGGACAAAAAAGTGGAGTGTGGCCATGTCTTTAAGGCACCAAAGAACGCCCAGCTGAAAGGTGGACAGTGCGGTCACCCTCTTCTGCATGTCTTCAACATCTGGCTTGATGTAGACAGACACCTGGAAGGGTGGGTGCCTTTTTCACTTTTTGGGGGACAAATCTTTGGGTGTCCTATGGGTCCCAGATGTGTCCCAGAAGGAATCTCACTGAACATAAATTTGCTGGCTGCTCGATGGGTACAGCCCTAGCTATGTTTGGTTTGGGAAATTTTTGACTTACCTATGGGTGTCACTGGGAGAATGATGCAAATGGAGGTGTTGGGTGGAACCCAGGCTCCCCTACCCTGGCCAGAGAGCTGTTTTGTAATGCAGACCAAGGTCAAAGGATTTACGGTGGGACAAGTGACTGACTTAGAGCTTCCTATCTGAGGACCACCTCCTGATCACAAGTCAGCATCCGTCCTCACTGCTCAGGGGAGAATGGACAGGGGCCAAGGACGTGTGCCAAGAGTAGGGCTATGACTACCTGTTGACCACTCTATCTCCAGCAGCTGGCACAGGACCTGGCACTTGGTAGGGTCCCATGAACACCTGTTGACTGACTAGGTGAGCAGCGTTGGATATTGGAAATCTACAGAGCCAGAAGCAAGTGTGGTAAAGAGTCAGCCAGCCCTGGCTTTGACTCCAGCCTCTGTCCTTCCCAGCTGCATGACCTTGGGTGGGTCACTTCCCCAAGCAGGAGCCACATGGAGGAATTACTATGAGATTAGAGTAAGGTCACTTAGTAAGTGCTCAATCAGTAAAAGCTATTCCCTCCCATCATTGAATCTGCATCCTGCCCTCACGTCATCCACCATCACAGTGAGTGGCAGGGTGTCCTAGTGTTTCATTTTTCTTCACCAACCCCCTTAAAGACAGAAATATATATATATATATATTTTTT